GATAGCAGCTGCATTTTTTATCACGTCGTATTGGTATTGGTAGTTGGGGTCTGTTGGCTCTGGCAAGTCTTGAATAAGCTCACTGGCCATGCTCGTCCCTTTCTGCAGTCCATTTTTCTGAAGGACAATGTAAGCCACGTTTCAAGGGTCCAAACTTCCACGCACCAATCGCTGTGCAGTGTCTTTGAGAGGGTATGACGCCGCTGCTTCCCTCATCTTTGCGTATCTCTCCAACCTTCGCTTCCACTCTGCACCAGGGAACCAAGAGGGGACGAAGCGAAGGAGTGGGAGTACACTGACAAGCATTCTTCCTGGTGAAAAGATGTCCAAGAACTCGGCTGTAATGTTCTCGGAGAGTTCGATGAGCTTTCGGTTGTACTCGGGATCTGATTCTCCGTAGGTAACGCGAAGGATTACTGTCCCGAGGTACCTTTGCGTAAAGTGAGCAACATGCCTGAGATGAGCAGATAAACGCACATGCGCATGGAATTTCGGTAGGCATTGGGTTTCTCCACGAGAGAAGCCAAGAAGGGTTGGATTTCCTCCTCGATTATGGGGTGCATCTGACTGATTTGGCCAGGTCCGAGCATCCGATGGAAAGCCTTGCGTTGGTCGCGCCATTCCTGGCCATAGTTGAGCTGCAGCATGCTCTTTGAGCTCCCCGCACTGGGATAGTGAGAATGTGGATATAAGCAAAGTTCAGGACGCTCACATCTGAGTAGCAGGCGACCAGATTCTGTCAGAGTAGATGTTGGCGCGCGAGGAGAGGAGATCGTTGATGGATGAAACCGAGTTGAGGACGAGAAAGCCTTTGCCGAGTAGTTCAAAGTAGATCACATCGCCTGGATGTACGATAAGCGCATGTAAAGCCGGTCCTCGGAGAGCATACCAAACTCTTTTCTCCACTCGTCGTACACCCTCCAGGCTTCTTTATGGGGCATTTGGCCAACAACACCAAGAATTGGGTAGCCCTTGGGTCCTGGAGGGGAACGAAGGCTTCTGCGCTTCGCATACGCTAGAGCCCAGTTTAAGACCCTATTTGCGAACAGGAACCCAGCTACGACTTGCCCTGCCGTAGGCCAGTTGAATTCCGCCAACATCGTCAAGAGGAGAGAAGGCAACAGCGGTCGACGACGGCGGTATTCATGTTGCGGACCGAGTCCGCGAAGCCATGCATGGCTCATGGGAAATTGATGTGCATCTGATTTCAGAACCATCCAGCGCTTAACCTGCGTACTAGCCTTTGTGTTGTGCCCTTGTGCCTTTAGGCCTACAGCTCCTGGGCTCTGTTACCTTTGCCTTTATACCTACCCATAATGCTCCAAAGGCGACCCCATGTCTCAGATTCTGAACTAGATGACCCACCAGAGATTGTTCAGAGAAATTCGCTCAGGAGTGTCGGATTTCCCAAGGGTTCGTCTCCTGCACAACCCCATGCAACAAACACTGTTGCTGCTTCAACTTCCGGTGAGCGCGGATACCTGTTCTTGCCGTGATGAGTCTGACAGTGTGTTCCGACAGCACAAACAGACGTACCAGAATCACCCCAGGCCTTCGAGACTGGAGAATTCGCTACTCTTAGCCCCTTCCCGGATTGGCAGCACCCAGACAATGGTGAGTTTCACCTCTAGGCGACGACTTAGCCATTGACATCTCTTGAATTTGATAGCCGATGGATTGGTTTACCACCAGGCGTATGGCCCAATAACTAACGGTGAACGGGTGGGCAGCTTCTTCACGGGAACAAATTATGGTAGGAACAAGCCAGATCGAGACGAAGGATTGTTCACATTCAGCTTACGCACACTTATATTAGGTACTGTCAATCAGACATTCGAGGAGCACAACGTCCTTCGCGACCTGCCCATCCATCCAGACATCAGCGGTTATCTCAGTGACTACTTTCCCGGAAGCAGAACCGACGATGAAACACAAATTCTACAATGGATTGACTCCAATCATGGGCCATCAGAGCTTGTCCTCTGTGTTCTTGGCAAGGTCGGGGTGGGGAAGTCGACGTTGGCGAGGCATCTAGCTACAAGGCTTGACAAAGACAAACGCCTCGCTGCCAATATCTTCCTTGGCTTCGCTCTTCCCGATTGTACCGCCGAGTCGGCGGTTAGGATAATTGCAGGTCAGCTGTGCGGAACCTACCCAACGCTCACGCGAGCTATCCACGAAGCCATCCGCCTTGACCTCAATCCTTCGCTCACCCTTGAGACGAGGATCCAACTATTCATTCTCGAGCCCATCCGGTCACTACACCTTCCTCACCCCCTTGTGGTACTATTGGATGCTGTCGATCAATGGGCACCTCATCCTATCCTTATCAGGGCTCTAGCATGTCTCGTTGCCGAAGCCCACCTTATCCGTTTCGTTGTCTTTGGACGACCAGGATTCGAAGATTACTTTCGCGACGTCACCATCAGGAGATACGATTTGCCAGACGTGTCCGACAGCGTCATGGGCAAGTATTTCATGGTCAGGTTTGATCAAGTGCAGTGGGAGTACCGGCGCAAACCAAGTGCCCAGACCATTAATCAACTGGTGAATAAGGCCAGAGGCCTATTCGTCTGGAGCTCCACACTTTGCTCCCTTTTGGAAGACAGGATGAGCTGCCCAAATCCATACGAAACCCTTACGGCGATCCTACAATCGCAGCAAAGCATAGGCGACAATGACATCCTGGCAAACCTGTACCACGGCGCCATCAACCTGCGATTTCCCAAGCCAGAGCATAAGACAACACTCACAGTATTCTTGAGAGGGGTGCTAGTTCTGCAACAACCCCTTCCTGTGACTGCATTCGCCTCCTTGGTGTCAATGGCGGCCTCTACCATTCGCGAAATCGTGGCTTGTCTCCGCCCTCTGCAGACTGGGCAAACGAAGGAGCCGCTGGACATGGTCTACCCAGCGCTGCTGATGTTCCACTTTTCCGTATTGGAGTGGCTTCAGAGCTCGCATGCTCACTCTCATCTTGCACTCCCAATCGATATCTTCACCTCGCACTTTCAACTTGGCAAATATTGTCTTGAGGAACTGCGTCGGCTCTTATCCTCCCCCGACTCTGCCTTCATAACTCCCCTGCAGCAGTATGCGATGAGGTATTGGCCAATCCACACGGCCCACGGCACCCCAAACGTGAGTCCGACCTCAGATGCAGAGTGGAGGGCTACACCGCACTTCGCGATTCTGGACAGCCTGACTGTCCTACAATGGCAACATTGGGCGTCGGCGTATCTCCAGGCCATCCGCCCAGGTGCAGCTCCAGACCTTACAATTAAAGTTTTTACCATACCACCGCCACTATATCCAACGGAAGAAAGGAGGTCAACTGTTCGCACCACCCTGCGGGGGCTGTGGCGCAAGCTGTCTCACGAAGATGAGGCACCAAGTGCGCCAACTCATTATACTCCTCAGTACATCATCTGTTGCATCACTCGGTCACTGGTCAATGTACTGCTCACTGCAAGTATCGCAGATGCAATCGCTCTTGCCGAGGTAGCAGTTCGTCTTCAACACCAAAGCTCAAACGCTTGGCTTAAACTTGGGACAGCGTACGGGCGTGCAGCACAGACGGATCTATCAAGAAGCCTCATAGAAAGTGCTGTGCAAGCTTGTCGCTACGCGTCCGATATAAGGGGCGAAGGAGATCGTCTAGTCCATCGGATTTTGGCCAATTGCCTTTACGAAAGGTTCAACCGCCTTGGCTTGAGGGAAGATCTGGACGAAGCAACTTCTCTGGAAAGGGCGGTGCTTTTGCTCACACCACCAGGCCACCCCAACCGTGCGATGGCCCTCAATAACCTCGCCAGCTCCCTCCAATCTCAATATATCTCGACAGGTACTAGCGAGCACCTCGGTGAGGCAATCGCGCTTCACCGAGAAGCATTATCGCTGCGGCCCTCAGGTCACCCGAAACGCGCAGTGGCCCTAAACAACTTGGCCAGCTGCCTTTACTCTCATTTCAAACTGACAGGTGCTGCTGAGAGCCTGGACGAGGCGGTCGTGCTTTTCCAAGAAGCATTGCGTTTGCGGCCGCCCGGTTCCTCACAACGCGCAGTGGCCCTCAACAACTTGGCCAACTGTCTTCAATCTCATTTCGAGCAGACAGGCACTGCTGGGAGCGTTAATGAGGCAATAGCGCTTCACCGAGAAGCATTGTCGTTATGGCCTTCAGGTCACCCAGACCGCGCAATGGCTCTGAACAACCTGGCGATCTCCCTCAAGTCTAGTTTTGAGCTGACAGGCACTACCGAGAGCCTGGAAGAGGCTATCACGCTTTATCGAGAGGCATTCTCTCTACGACCCTCAGGTCACCCACACCGTGCCCTTTCCTTGAACAACCTGGCCCACTCCCTCCAGTCTCATTTCGAGCAGACGGGTGCTTCTGAGAGCCTGGAGGAGGCTACTGTCCTTTTTCGAGAAGCATTGTCGTTGCGGCCGCCAGATCATCATAAACGCTCGGCATCTCTCAACAACCTGGCCAACGCCCTCAACGCTTCTTATATCTTGACAGGCAACACTCAGGCTCTGGACGAGGCAAAGTCGTTATTGCTTCAAGCTACCAAAACCGCACGGTAACTTGGGGATACCACAGGCAGAACATGGGCAACGTCGTAGGATTAATTTCAGTCATAATGGCTATGGGACAGCCTCAAACAAGGATGGGAGCTGCGCAGCGAGTGCGATGGGGTGGGGCTACCAAAAGGCATTTCAATTGTGTTGCTGATACTTTCGGTAGCGGGAGGGGAGTTATGTAAGAACTACGATATCGTACAGTGAGCCTGGATTTGCGTTACCACTTATGTATTCTCACTTCTGTATCATTTACAAAGCACAAGGATCGTTGAGTCAAATCCTCTCGCTTCACAACCGAACGCCTGTTGAGATGATAGAGGCGATTGAAAAACACGTAGTGTCATTTGCGGCTGAAGCTTCTAGCAATGATGCTCTGCAGGAAAAAAGCTTTGCGAGATTGATAATTAATTTCCTCGGTTTAGCAACGACTCGTTTCGATCGAGTGACCTCAGGGTTATGAGCCCTGCGCGCTACCAGCTGCGCCACATTGCTTGGAGGGTGACAATGACTTGAGGAAATATCGGCGCGCTAATGTTTGCGTGCTCCATCTTCTCCTCTTGCCGCTTACCTGGTCAAAGACCTACTTTACGTGAGGCGAAAGTATAACAGCCCTCAGTCAATGATCTATTGTCGGAGAACATGGGTGATTGATTAACAAGTTGTATGTCGTGACTTGTAAGGTATGGTCAAGGTATGGTACAGCTGTCATGAATTGTGCTATCAAGAGACAAGAAGCTGTTGAAGAATTTGTACAAGACCGTGGTAATGGCAATTCTCGGGAAGACAAGCAGAGGAGAGAAAGGATACATAACTGATGTGAGACAAGGTTACCATTTAGGGTGACTCGGAAGTTGGAGATAGGAAAGGTACGCGAGGAAGAACGTACAGGGGAGTTAAATCGTGAAAGGGAGAAGGAGTGAGGAGAGTAGAGGAGTACATATGTGAAGAGGAATCTACTGTCCGCAACAAGGCGACAGATACGGAGTACGATTATACGAAGGGCGATGCACGTCCGCATGAAAGTTCAAGGGATGAATGACAGGGAGCGAGGTCGACAACCTCACCCTAATCTTGCGGATAGTCGTCTCATGCAATAAGACGAAGGATGTTCTTCGAGTTGAACTCGACAAATTCCCCGAAGGGATTATCCCCTTCCTCGACGGTGTTGGCGAAGGGGTCAATGGCAAATGCGGTGGACGAGCTGGCGGGGGATGGCGTTGGGGCAGCCAGGGTTGGGGACGTGTTTACCGAAAAGATGTTGGACATATCGCTGGCGTCGTCAACATCGAAGCAAGGAGACTCGGTTGAATGGTCAGGGTGGCTTTCCACCCCAGATATAGCAGCATCACCAACAAGGCTACCAAGGGCAGGAGATGGAGAGGCAGTGTTATCATCCGAGTGAGGCTCTTCCGGCAGCCTGAGGATGTCGTTGTCACCACTATACCGGGCGATATGCGGGGAAGGGGCGGGGTTGAGGAGGATCTTTTCTTCGAGGTTTCGGATATAAACCTGTGTGAAGGAAGGGAGGTGTGCATTGGAGTCGATCCGAGGAATTATCTCCTTGCCCGCATCGAGAAGCGCTTTGTTGGCATTCTCAGCCCGTTCCACGATGGCATTACGACGCCCCTCAATTCTCTCTTTCTTGCGACGGTCGACAACGGACCGAGCAGGCAGCGGGCGATTAAGGATAGGCCATGAGCTTTCCTCTACGTCATCGAGGAAAAATCGAAAGTCGGCGGGAAGCTCAGCCTGACAGTTGGCTCGAGAATGCTCGTGATTCTCGTTGCAGATCGTGAATTCGAAGCCATGGGTCAAATCGAGATGGGTGAGGAGCAGATGGATGGGCATCTTCTCTGATAAGTGACAGCCGGGAATGGGGCAGCCGAGCTCGACGTCATCTAGGATTCCGGAGATGGAGTTGTTGCCTTTCGACGTGAAGTGAGACCGGGTATGCTCAGCAAGTTTGGAAATGTTCAGGTAGTATCTAGGATAGCCAGGTTAGAAAGCAAGCAGACTACAAGAAAAGGACTGGGCTTACTTGCAACGCTTCTTCCAAGACACGGTCTCGTCCGAGAGACAAAAAAGACATACAAACATATGCCCACTAACACGGAAGGTGTGCTTGACCATGCCAAAATGTTTGCGAAACGCGGCCCTCTCCCGGCTGCCTCCGTCATCGTTAGCCGCACTTCCCTGCTCTTCCTCCTCTCCATCCTCAGCGACAGATGCTGAGTCCCTCTGCCGACGATCGTCCAAGAACCTCTCGGCACAGCCTCTGTAATGCTCGTCTGCTGACAGTCTCAGCGACGCATTCACGTCGGAAACAGAGCTAGTTTGGTCGACGTCCCCGTCGGGTTTCGGATCCGAGACCATGATGAAGCTCTCGCAGAATGGGCAAAACTCGTGGTTTGGCCGAGACTTGAGCTGACATGGGATGTAATGTTCGAGATTTGCTACGGCCTTGGCGGTGTTCTTCTCTCCTCGGCTGTCACACGAAGGGCACTTGCCTGCTTTGATGACGCGATCTCTGGCGATGAAGGTTGCGAGATACAGGACAAAGGCCTTGCGAGTGTCCGTGGGGTGATGTTTGGCAAATTCGGCGAACAAGTTACCGCAGGAGGAAGCAGTGAGCCTATGAGGGTTGGCTGCGAGAGAAGAAATGGCCAGCTCCGCAAGCCGTTCCACTTCTCCACGAGGAGAACTGCCTCCAATGTTAGTGGGGGCCAAGGGAGGAGGGGCGGGTCGAAGGTTGAGGGGACGATGCGGAACCTTGCCCTGAACGGTGATAGCGTCGCACCGCTGACCACAAATCGTCCATTGCTCGCGACACCAATTCACGAGAGGGTCACCAGAGTGCTGGCAACTGTCAGCCAGCCGATCCAGCCCAACGACAAAACACTTACCTCGGGACCCAGATCCATCGAGCCCTTGCCGTACGCCTTGATAACGAGCATTTCTTGAACACGCAGCTTCTCCAGAGCAGAAAGGAGTGAGGAATCGCTGTTGAGGAGCTTCTTCCGGTCCTCGCTGTCATCAACAATATGGGTCCTGAAGCCGATAGAGTTCTTGAGGTGTCCGATCCTGAGCTCAGCCTGTTCGCCCGTATGGACAGCAGTGAGGTCGAACCCGCGCTCGCCGGTCTGGTAGACACTCTCCATCGTCGTGCTCCCAGCAGCATGGCCAAAGACGCGTCGGAGAAGGTGTGGAGGAATTTTGGCAGCGCTGAACGCCGCCCACTTGTAACGAACTACATACGGGCTAAAGGCTTGAAGAGAGATTAGAGGCAGCCCGATACAAAAGACAACAAAGAGCACATACTAGCAAATCCATTGACCTTAGCGGCCTTGGAAAAATAGTGGTTCAGGGTGGACAGGCTCATAGCGCGATCATCGGCAACGTTACGGAACACGGCCTCACCCGCCTTCTGAGGCTTGATGGTAAGTTCGTAGTACTTGCCGGCTGGGAGCGCAGGGAAGGTTGTCGGGTCAAATAGCTTCCAGACGTCTACACCAAAAACGTCCCTTTCAAGTCCGAGGGTTATGAGGGGGAGGGTGGCGTCCTTGGATATATTATCCGGCTGGGTGGAGCGTAGATAGAGCCGTAGGCTACCTTGCCATTAGACGAGACGAAACGAACAAAGGTAGTATCGACGTACTCAGAACCATCCACCTGCCGTACGTACTTCATGTACTTGAAAGCGACGAAGATATGAAACATCGGGCCAATACCGGGTTCATAGCCGGAGCAGATAATTGTCAGATCCTATTGCAGCCGTCAACAAAAGGGCTCGAAACTAGAGCACCAAGGGACACTTACCCCCCAGGTCAAGCATTGGTTGGTTCCAAGGTAGTCGTCTCCCTCGACAATGGCTCCTGGGCGCTGCGCAGTTATGTCGATGATTTGCGTGATTGCCGTTAGCTGTACACGCATGGTACCCGTAGAGATTGCGATATTGCCGTTGAGAAAGGTATTGAGGATAGCGAGGATATCTTCCTCCGTGGCCGTATACTTCTCCCTCCGTGATGTGTAGAGGACCCCCTCCTGACGAGACATTATCTCGATGTAACCCATCATCTGGCCCATCGCTGCGTCGTCCCAGACGGTGGCACCAGAACGCCTCAACTGAATAGCAATTAGTATGAAGATAGCCAGAAAGACACCATGCGCACCGATGATCGAAGGCTTCTGACCCAATTCTTGGCTGTATTCTCTGACCACCCCTTTGTTCGACCCGGGATCTTGAACCCAGGGTTCCCCCCCCCCCCCCCCCTCCCCCCCGTCGCAACCACCCGGACCACAACTTTGGCCAAAGGTAACACAGGAGGGAGAGCCTTTAGTGACCAATACTTCTTCTCTACTTCCTTTTCGCTGATTTTTTCAATCGTCGCGAGGGTGGCTATGGCGGCCTTCTTGGCTTCGGTTTGCTTGCGTTGGGTGGAATCCTGGAGAGGCCTGAAGGAAAGTGTATCGAGCTCTCGAAGCAACTTGTCCATGTCGTTCTCAGCCACAAAGGCTGCAGCGCCTGCAGCGTAGTCACGGCTACGGCTGTTGGTGGTGATTTTCTGGCGTTTTTTTGGTGGAGGGCCCATGCCCCTGGAGTCAGCAGCTGATGATACCGCCGAGAGTGATGATGCTCCTGAGGCAGAGGCAGAGGAACCAGCAGCGGCAGTCCGGGATTTGGCCTTGGGCACCTTTCGGCTGTCTTTGGGAGGCATAGCAAGCAGGAGATGGAGGGAGGGAAAACGAGGGATAGAAAGACAACAAGGGACTGAGGTCGACATAGTTAATAGGGCCTGGTCCTTCTTGACAGCTCTTGAGCCAAGACACGTCGTTAAAGAGATCACGATTGCGCGAATAAGGAAGCCGACGCCTTCTTTGCCATCATGATGAGTTCACAAGAAATAGCAGCAAATTTAAGAACTCACAAAAGATCCCCGTTATTGGTGTGGGGGGGACGGTTATTTTGCAGCGGGAGGCTGCCTACTGTTCAAGGTGTAGTATTCCGAAGTAGACTGTCCGGGTAGTCGAATTGACCGGCACGCCAATAGCAACATCTCGATGGCGGCCAAGGGTTCACTGGTCGAAAACCAAGCCGACACAATGCAAATTGCTTTACGAATCACATCTCATGGCCGGGGTTTCCACCAAAGGGACGGGTATGGCAGGCCAGAAAGATTCATCTTGGAGCTATTAGACTGAGGATAATATGAATCGAAAAAAGACGCACCTTACTTCCTCAATGGAAAAAGATGTAGGCCGCACTAGTAGGCCCAGTCTGCGGAAACGGAACGCAAAGGCCGCCGACCATTCGCGAGGACACGAGGCCTTCACTGCAACGGTGCCAGGTCCGCTCTTCCAGTCTTGCGACAACAAAACTGGAAGGAATGAGACTCAGAAAGGAAAATAATCGTGGCGGGACCGTCCCTCGATCAGCGAATGGTGAACGAAGTAGGTGGAATTCCGGTTCAAGTTGAGCATGAAGTTCCACACAC